GTCGTCTATGAGGTACATCGCGGCTACAGTCACCTTCTTGTCGTCGGTACAAGCCGTTGTGGCTTTGAAGTACTGTTCGACGTCAAAGATGAAGTTCTCCAGCTCTTTGGCGTCCCGATTCCCTTTGAAGGCTCTAGGGTCTGGGAACCTTAGTTTGTTGGATCCTGTACTAGTTTGTCCAGCCGCGACACCTTCCACGGCTTTCATGGTAATTTCAATTCAAGTGCTCATGGCGGCCATCCTTTCTTGGAGGTTGTCGACTGTTGTTCTGAATTCATCAGCCAATCCATTGAACAAACTCATCATTGTGTTTTGTAGTACATCGAACTCTTCGCCACGTCCCTCCTTGTGTGCGACAGAGCTATCCGGACTATCAGACGGTTTTAGGCTGCTCGTAGGAGCAACTCTTTCTTCGAGCGAGGTCACTCGAAACAACAGTTCTGCGATTGGCAACCCATCTAGGCGGTTGCCCATTGCGTCGACTTGGACGACTTTCTCACTCAGTTCGGTCACCCGTGTTTCCAGGAAACGGAGGGTGTCAGGGACTTCTTTGAGGAACAGCATTTCCTCCTCTATTAGTGTAAGCCGGTCGGCTTGTGCTTTGGGTGTCGACTTTGTCGTCACATGATCTCGGTCTGTATGACGTTACGGAGCTAACAAAGCTCTGATACCACTTGACACAATCGCGCTTTCGAAGGCAGCGGACTAGCGATTGTGCGGCACTCACTTTCAAGCGACAAGTGAGTTCAGCCTATTTGTTCTTGCGTCGCCTACGGCCAAGCGACGTACGGTCAAGCCTCTAGCCTCGGTTTTAAAAGAAGGTTTTAGAAAACGAGGAGAGAGAGAGATTTTAGAAAGAGAGATTTTAGAAAGAGACGTTATATAAGCAAGCAAGAGAAAGATAACAACGGCTTAGCATATATAACCTTGGGTAGGGAGAAGTTGACGACTAGTCATATCCCTCTATAATACATTCTGGGCCATTTTAGTTCTGGCAGGCCTAGACATGATATTTTTGAGGTGTCATACGCTCTAGAATTACAAAAGGAAAAACACTAGAATGAAAAGACATGACAAGGGTTTGGCTTGTCATGGGCATGCGGCCATGGGCAACATGTCCTGGACAAGCATGACCGTGACACTTGGCCCATATTAGAGTCTATTTTTTATGTGGGCAAAGAAGGTTATTTAGCCAAAAATTGTTTTAGGGGTTGTGTAGTTAATCTTAGAAATCAGCAAAGTTGTTCGACTAGAGCAGGTCACCCTACTCAGAAGCGTCAAAGCCATCCTCCAGCGAGAGCGTATGCCTCTACTAGTAAACACTTTGGAAATCTCGACACTGTGGTGACATGCACTTTATTTTTTATGGGTCACATTTCTTAACATTGTTTGATTCTAGATCTACGCATTCATTTATATCTACTATTTTCGTCAGTCTAGCAAAATTTGTATTAGAACCTCTGTTGCATGAAGTTTCTGTTAGCACCCCGGCAGGGGTAAATTTGATTGCTGCTTATAGGGTAAAAGATGATCAAGTGATAGTGTTAGGAATTAACGTTGAGGTAGACCAAATTGTAGTTGACATGACCAATTATGATGTAATATTGGGGATGGATTGGTTAACTGCAAACCATATAAACATAGACGGTTATAAGAAAGAAGTGGTATTTACGTCGCCATCCAAGGCTAGGTTCAAATTCAAGGGTACGTGTTTTGGAACAATGCCTAAAGTGATATCGATGATGAAGGTAAAGAAGTTGGTACAGCACGGAGCGTGGGTTGTACTAGCCAACACCGTGAAGAACAAATATCCCCTTCCATGCATTGAAGACTTATTTGTTCAACTCAGGGAAGTGATGTTCTCTAAGATAGACCTCCGATCAGGTTACAATCACATCAAGATCAAAAAGGAAGATGTGGCGAAGACAACCTTCAAAACAAGGTATGGTCATTACGAGTTCGTAGTTATGTCATTTTGGCTCATTAATGCCCTTGCAGTGTTCATGGGTTTGATGAATCAAGTGTTCAAGGAATGTCTGGATACATTTGTCATAGTATTCATAGATGACATCTTAGTATACTCTAAAACTGACAAAGAACATCAGTTATACCTGAGAAGACCCTACAAATTCTGTGGGAGAACAAGTTATATGCCAAATTCTTTAAATGCTAATGTTTGTTATAAAAGGTCTCATTCTAAGACATGTATCTGAAAAAAGTGTGTTAGTAAACTTTATGAAGGTTGAAACAGTCACTAAATGAGCTTGTCCAACTCCTGTTACTGAGGTACGTAGTTTCTTTCGTGTGAAAGGTTACTATCGACACTTCTAACAAGAGTTTGCCAAGATATCCTCACCGCTTATGTAACTGACTCGGAAGGATGTGCCGTTTGTATGGATCGAAGATTGAGACAAGTTTTTAGGATATGAAAGATAAGCTGGTGACTGTATCAGGTACTCACAATGCCCGATGACACAGGAAACTATATAATTTACAGTGATGCTTCCAAGAAGGGCCTGAATGTGTGCTGATGTAGTGCGAAAAGGTCATTGCATACATATTTCGACAACTGAAAGATTATAAAAGAACTACCCCACACATGACTTGGAGCTACTAAATGTAGTCTTAGCATTAAAAATTTGATGACATGAATTGTATGGGTAGAAAACTCAGATCCACACTAACCATAAAAGGCTGAAGTATTTCTTCACTCAAAAGGAATTGAGTATGAGAAAATGGAAGTCGTTGGAAATGGTGAAAAACTAACATCGACATCAAGTGCCACCTCAGGAAGGCCAATGTGGTTGCAAATGCCCTAAGTAGGAAGACAACTCATTCAACGGCATTAATCACGAGGGAGCCCTGAGTACAGACATTCGAACAAGTTAGAATAATAGTGGCAGTAGAAGGAGTTAGAGCACAACTAGCCCAATAGACGATCCAACCCATACTCCAAAAGAGAATCATCGATGCTCAACTAGGAGACCCTAGGTTAGGAAAAACACAGAATGAGTTAGTGATAGGACAAGTTGGTGGTTACTCCAAGTTTTTTTATGGCGAATTGTTGTACCAAGGTCGTTTGTGTGTACGAGTAGTAGAAGAGCTGAGAAATGAGATACTAGTGAGGTGCATAACTCCCTGTTTGCCATGTACCCTAGTAGTACTAAGATGTATCAAGACTTAAAGCAACACTTTTTGGGGCATGATATCAAGAATGATATAGCAGAATTTGTAAGTAAATGTTTGATATGCCAGTAAGTGAAGACATCTAGATAGAGACCGACAAGATTGTTGCTGCCCCTCAGTGTACTAAAACAGAAATGGGAGAATATAGTCATGGATTACATAGTAGGGCTACAAAAATGTTGAAAGGTTACACGGTTGACAAAGTTAGCGCATTTTCTTCCTGGTAAAGCCACCTACACAGTAGAAAATTGGGTATAGCTATACATGAAGAAAATTATTAGACTGCACGCAGTTCTTGTGTCAATTGTATTAGACTAAGACCCAAGCTTTACGACAACATTTTGGCCTGGACTCTAAAAAGCATTAGTTACTTGCCTAGATTTCAGTACACCATTTCAACCATCGACAAATTGCCAGACGAAACTTTTGAGCCATATCCTAGTGGATATGATATATGCCTGTGTATTAGACTTCGCAGGTAGCTGGGAATTCACCTATAAAAACAATGTTCAGGCAACTATTAACATGGCACCATATGAGTCTTTGTATAGAAAATGGTGTCACGTCAAATCGGTGACCCACGCCTCGACCTTGTGAACTACGCCCCTCTACTCCTACGTGCCTAGCATGTGTTTCACTTCTAGCATGGCACCATATGAGGCTTTGATAGCTCGTCTTAACGATTTGGTGGCTCGGCTTCGTGACTTAGGCGGTTTGGTGGCTCAATTCAATCCTCAGCTGCCGAGTGAAAGAGTGAAAGAAGGGACAGTTTACAAGCAAGAGAGCCAGCCAATTCAATTCAATCCTCAGGTGCCGAGTGAAAGAGTGAAAGAGTGAAAGAGGGACAGTTTACAAGCAAGAGAGCCAGCCAATTCAATTCAATCCTCAGCTGCCAAGTGAAAGAGTGAAAGAGTGAAAGAGTGAAAGAGTGAAAGAAGGGAAAGAAGGGAAAGAGTGAAAGAAGGGACAGTTTACAAGCAAGAGAGCCAGCCAATTTAATTCAATCCTCAGCTGCCGAGTGAAAGAGTGAAAGAGTGAAATTGTGAAAGAGTGAAAGAGTGAAAGAGTGAAATTGTGAAAGAGTGAAAGAGTGAAATAAGGGACAGAGTGAAAGATGGGTCAGTTTACAAGTAAGAGAGCTAGTCAATTCAATTCAATCCTCAGCTGCCGAGTGAAAGAGTGAAAGAAGGGATAGTTCGGTCAGTTCACTCTCATGAATAAGGAGTCTTTGTTTGGTTATAGTGAGTGAAAGAAATAATAGCTCATACTAACAGATGGTAATACAGGTTCTGGAAGAAGACGAGTTGGAGAGGTTACGGATTGAATTGACTCTCATGGTTTTGGTCTGGTGAAGCATTGAATGAATCTACGACTGTCGAGTTTCATTTATTCTTTCCTGACTATAAAGTCTCATTCATCTTTAGTTGAGTCTTCCAAATTACCGAGTGCACCCACCGTCGCCTCGATTAAATGCAACTTATGCGCACGTCAGGTGCAATCATATCAGCACTAATGCACCGAATCCCATTAGAACTCCGCAGTCAAGCATGCTTGGGCGAGAGTAGTACTAAGTTGGGTGGGGGTTGCACCCCTCTTTTATTTCTTATTTCTTTTGCTCGTTATTTCAATTTCACCCTGTTCTTTTCTTCCTTTCTTTACAAATGGCAACCTTGCACGCACACGCCCATCGCGTTCTTCTCACCGACGTGCCCGCGCGAGCCCCACTGGCAGTTCCGAGCATGTGCGTGCACCCACCGTCGCCTCGATCATGCCGCCCCGCATGCATTAAATGCAATTTGAGCACACTACATGTTGGGTGCAATCATACCAGCACTAATGCATCGGATCCCATCAGAACTCTGTAGTCAAGCGTGCTTGGGCGAGAGTAGTACAAAGTTGGGTGATCACTTGGCAAGTCCTCGTGTTGCACCCCTTTTTTATTTCTTATTTCTTTTGCTCGTTATTTCAACTTCTCCCCGTTCTTTTCTTCCTTTCTTTACAAATGGCAACCCGCACGCTCACGCCCATCGCGTTTCTTCTCCCCGACGTGTCTCTGCGTGCCCCAACGGTCGTTTCGAGCACGTGCGTGCACCCGTCGTCATCTTGATAATACCGCCCCGCATGCGTTAAATGCAATTTGTGCGCACTACATGTCGGGTGCGATCATACCATTGGGAAGTCCTCGTGTTGCACCCCTTTTTTATTTTTTATTTCTTATTTCTTATTTCTTTTCTCGTTATTTCAATTTATCCCTGTACTTTTCTTCCTTTCTTTACAAATGCCAACCCGTACGCTCATGCCCATCGCGTTTCTTCTCCCCGACGTGTCTGTACGGGCCCCGCCGGCCGTTCAAAGAATGTGCGTGCACCCACCGTCGCCTCGATCATGCCGTCCTACATGCGTTAAATGCAATTTGTGCGCACTACATGTTGAGTGCGATCATACCAGCACTAATGCACCGGGTCCCATCAAAACTCCGCACTCAAGCGTGCTTGGGCGAGAGTAGTACTAAGTTGGGTGACCACTTGAGAAGTTCTCGTGTTGCACCCCTTTTTTATTTCTTATTTCTTATTTCTTTTGCTCGTTATTTCAATTTCTCCCCGTTCTTTTCTTCTTTTCTTTACAAATGGCAACCAGCACGCTCACGCGCATCGCGTTTCTTCTCCCCGACGTGTCCGCGTAGGCCCCGCCAGCCGTTCCGAGCACGTGCGTGCACCCACCGACGCCTCGATCATGACGCCCCACATGCGTTAAATTCAATTTGAGCACACTGCATGTCGGGTGCGATGGTATCAGTGCTAATGCACCGGATCCCATTAGAACTCCGCAATTCAGCGTGCTTGGGCGAGAGTAGGACTAAGTTGGGTGACCACTTGGGAAGTCCTCGTGTTGCACCCCTTTTTTATTTCTTATTTCTTATTTCCTTTGCTCGTTATTTCAATTTCACCCCGTTCTTTTCTTCCTCTCTTTACAAATGGCAACCCGCACGCTCACGCCCATCGCATTTCTTCTCCCCGATGTGTCCGCGGGTGCCCCGCTGGCCATTCCGAGCACGTGCGTGCACCCACCGTTGCCTCGGTCATGCCACCCCGCATGCGTTAAATACAATTTGTGCGCACTGCATGTCGGGTGCAATCATACCAGCACTAAGGCACCGGATCCCATCAGAACTCCACAGCTAAGCGTGCTTGGGCGAGAGTAGTACTAATTTGGGTGACCACTTGGGAAGTCCTCGTGTTGCACCCCTTTTTTATTTCTTATTTCTTATTTCTTTTGCTCGTTATTTCAATTTCTCCCCATTCTTTTCTTCCTTTCTTTACAAATGGCAACCCGCATGCTCACCCCATCGCGTTTCTTCTCCCCGACGTGTCCGCGCGGGCCCCACTGGCTGTACCTAGTACGTGCGTGCACCTACTGTCGCCTCGATCATGCCGCCCCGCATGCGTTAAATGCAATTTGTGCGCACTGCATGTCGGGTGCGATCATACCATCATTAATGCACCGGATCCCATCACTAATGCACCGGATACCATCACTAATGCAGGTTGTTCGTAACTAGAGCAGGGTCAATTTACCTTTTTACCCCTGAAGTTACTTCGAACTGAAATGGCCTTAGGTAATCTTCAAGGGAGGGAAGTACTCTTGAATGAAGGAGTTGAAAATGAAGAAGATGACAATGTCACCCTTTTAGCGGGACATAGTCCTAGGGGAGGGAGAGATGTCGGTCGAGGGAGGGGAAGAGTCAGAAAAAGGGGTAGAGAAATTTTAGCACCAAAAAGAATTGAGAGGGAGTACCAGTATGAGAGAGGAGAAGAAAGAGGAGTCGGGGAAGTAAAGCTAAAAATTCCAACTTTCTATGGGAGATCTGATCTAAAAGAGTATTTGCAATATGAGAGCAAAATTGAGCATGTTTTCGATTGCAACAATTTTAGTGAAGAAAGAAAGTTGAAGCTTGCTGTGGCTGAATTTTGTGATTACGCCATTATATGGTGGACATCTTTGAAATCAAAGTGGAGGAAAAAGTATGAGGAACCAATTGAAACGTGGGAGGAATTGAAGACATTAATGAGAAAAAGGTACATTCCTAAGCATTATTCTCGAGTACTCAAGCAAAAACTCTATACTTTGCAACAGAGATCCAAAAGTGTTGAAGAATATTACAAAGAAATAGAGGCCCTTATGAATAGAGCATGTATTGATGAAGATGAGGAAGATACAATGGCTAGATTCCTTGGTGGGTTAAACCGACAACTTGCTCATCAAGTGGATAGACAAGTGTACTTTGATATGCAAGAATTGTTACATCTTACTGTCAAAATCGAAGGGCAACTAGCTTGAGAGAAGGAGAACTCCAAGAGGTATGGTATTTCAAAGTCTACTACTTCCAACACTTGGAAAAAGAATGCAAATATTGAAAAGATAGATTTCAAAGTTGGAGGCAAGTATGATCTTGACAAAAAGAACAAAGCTGAGACCTCCAAGGGTAAAGAAAAAGCGGAGGAATATAAGGTGATTCGAGAAAGAAATAGAGACATCAAATATTGGAAATGTCAAGGAATTGGTCATCTTAGTCATGATTGTCCTAACAAGAGAGTCATGATCATCAAGAATGGACAAGTTGTCACAGATAATGAGGAAAGTGACCAAGATAAGCTAGTTAAAACTCAAGTTACAGAGAATGATGTTGATGATCAAAGAGACAACCTGTTTCACACAAGGTGTTTAGTCAAGGGGACTCCTTGTAGTCTTGTAATTGATAGTGGAAGCTGCACCAATGTCGTAAGTACCATGTTGATCAAAAGGTTGCTAATTCCAACCCAACACCATACTAAACCTTACAAGCTTCAATAACTCAATGAAAGTGGAACAATGAAGGTAACTTCTCAAGGTTTAATAACTTTTACTTTGGGAAAATATAAAAATGAAGTTCTTTACGATGTTTTACCAATGCATGTGGGAGACATATTGCTTGGCCGACCATGGCAATTTGACAAGAGGGTTATGTATGATGGCTTTTTTAATATTTGAATAGGTATTCTTTTGTAAAAGATCGTAGAAAAACCACTTTTGTACCTTTGAGTTCTGCAAATGTATTTGCTGATCAATTAAAGTTGGAAGAAAAAAAGAAAGAGCTTGAGGAAAAAGAGTTGAAAGAAAAACAAGAGTTGAGTGAAAAAATAGAGAAAAGTCAAAGAGAAAAAATGTAGTGAAAAAAAGAATGAAATTGAAAAAAAAAAAGGAAAGAATGTGAGTTGTTTCGCTAGAGTTGGAGAGGTTAGAAGGGCAATGTTCTCACAAAAAACCATCTTTGTACTTGTATACAAGGAAGGATGTTTGGTCTCTAACGATAACAATTTGTCTTTGCCCAGTATGTTTCAATCTCTTTTACACCAATTTGATGACGCATTCCAAGATGAAGTCCCTAAAGAACTACCTCCCATTAGAGGTATTGAACATAAAATAGACTTCATTCCAGGCGCAGTCATTCCTAATAAGCCAACTTATAGAGCCAACCCAACTAAGACTAAAGAAATTCAAAGGCAAGTAGAGGAGCTCATGGAGAAGGGCTATATACGAGAGAGTTTGAGTCCATGTTCTGTACCAGTCTTATTGGTGCCTAAGAAAGATGAAACGTGGTGCATGTGTGTGGATTGTAGAGCCATCAACAAAATCGCGGTAAAGTATCGACATCCTATTCTTAGGCTAGACGATGTGCTTGATGAATTGCATGGTTCATGTTTATTTACAAAGATTGACTTGAAATCTGGATATCATCAAATTAGAATGCATGTAGGAGACGAATGAAAAACTGCGTTCAAAACTAAGATTGGTGCATGAATGAAATTGAGATCTCAAATTGAGACGTTTTCCTTAGAAATCCAAGCATCCACAACTAGACCTATTCACGAAGATGATAAGAATCACGGTATTCCAAATGTTCCAACTGGACCTATTACACAATCCAAGGCGAAGAAGATTCAACAAACATTCATTCTTCATCTACAAAATTGGATCGACTCGGTTCAACCATCATTTCTAGAATTAGAAGCTGACCGAAGGACAATTGAATATTTGCACGGTTGAAGTTGGAAAACTTTAAAATGTTGACAATAGGGTTTGAACCTACACGAGTGAAGCCCAATAAATTTCAAGTTTGTCTTCTTAGTCACTCAAACATATCAACGTTTGTTGGAAGATTTTATTGTTTTTTTCATTTTTATTTTGCAGTGGTCAAATGGTCAAAATTGATTTCGTCTTTTGTGGAGATTAAAGGGGATCGGGATTGAATCTCGACCACAAACGTCTTTTGTCGGGAGACTATAAATACCCACAATATGTTATGTAAAAATCAGATTGATGAATGAATGAAATTGAGATCTCGCATTGAGACGTTTTCCTTAGAAATTTGAGCATTAATTTTGCACTTTCTAAGTTTCAAGCAATTCTTGTGGTAGAATTGCACCTGAGTTATTCAATGAACAAGTTAGATTGTAGAGTGACTCAATTTAGAACAAGGTTCCAAATCTTGCTTCTAGATCTTCGATCGTAAGAGGTAATCTAATTCTAGTCTTATCTCTTGGTTGATTCAAATTTCGAGGTGTTAATTACTTTGATTCAAGGGTTCTTGCTAAAACAAAAGCTTTGATCGTTGGGCTGAGGATTAGGGTTGCCTTATCAATCACTTACTAAGTATTTCTTAAAATACTCAAGCCACGAGCTACTTCTATTTCAAGTAAAGGCAAGACACCCATATACGGCTGACGACGACATCACAAATCTAAATCCATGACAGTTAATGTTTATTTATTTTATTTAGTATTTCGTTATGTTGTTTTAAGGATGTTTTTGAACACGTAAATTCATGACAGTGTTTTATGATGAAGTTTTAAATGTTTATTTCTGCATAAGAAAATATGTTATAATGATGGTAGC